CATTAGTGTGTGAGAAATGTTCAGCAACAGCTGATGATGCAGCAATTGAGGGATATGCTATTATTTTAAAATAAACACATCCGTCTAAGTATTTAGCTAAGCTTTGAAAGGAGATGAAAGAGCATGTCAATCAAAGTAAAGTGTAAAAGGACCCTTTTATCAGAGGGATACCATTACACGTCATTACTTCGCAGCCTCTTCAAGGCCTTTCCTCAAAGATTTTTTCTGCACTTTTCGATCACACTGAACTGAATAGAAATCAAAAGGAATAAGCTGATTTTCTTTTTGTTCACAGATTTCAAAGATGCTTTCCAGCTGTTTGACAGGACACCAGCCAATGAAATGAAAATCACTTACGCCCAGTGTGGAGACCTGATTAGGGCTTTGGGCCAGAATCCTACCAACGTAGAGATCATGCATGTCCTTGGAAAGCCCAAGCCTGAAGGTGGGTGGTATGCACAACATGTAATGTGCTGAGTGATTCCCCTCTTGTCTATGTGCACAGTGAGATTGGTGTTAATACTATGGTTCAAAGGGAGCATTAGCTGAATACAGAGAAAGGCTCAAATAAAGTTCAACATTCGTCATGATTGAAGACTGTCCAGCTTTTTGGTTTTTCTTTGGTAAAATCAGCATTTTAATTATTTTCCAAAGACATGCAGACCAAGATGCTTGACTTTGACCAGTTTCTGCCCATACACCAACACATTTGCAAGGCCAAGGACCGTGGAACATATGAGGACTTTGTGGAGGGTCTAAGGGTGTTTGACAAGGAGGGGAATGGCACAGTCATGGGAGCTGAGCTCAGGCACGTTCTGGCAACACTGGGTGAGTTGAACAGTCTTACTGCAAATTCATTTTATAAAGCCGTCATTATAAAAATACATACTGAGCTGACAGTTCTCCTGGTTTCTTCCGTATGGACCATAGGTGAGAAGATGAGGGAGGACGAAGTGGAGCAGCTAATGCAAAACCAAGAGGATTCAAATGGATGCATAAATTATGAAGCTTTTGTAAAGCACATTATGGCATCTTAAAATGGGTACCTCATTGTCATTCTGGTGCTACATCTCTCTCCATTATGAAATCAATATGATAATAATATTCAATATTCTTCTTCGCTACAAAACAAGATCTTGAGTTCTTGTCCACAGAAGATCTTTGTGTTTCTGTAAATCCCATTTTGTATGTTTCTTATTTCCATGCGTCTCAGATGTACCTATAACTCATCAGTATTTGACCTTGTTTTTCTAAGACCGCATGTATTGATGTGATCATTATCCCTGCTCATATTGTAGATCATGGTAAATAAATAAATTACTTTCGATGTTGTTTGCAAAATGATGCTCCTTATTTTATTAAAGAGAGAATTACACTCACCAGAAGAAGGTGAATTTTGGCACACGGTCAGTACTGAGTACATTAGGAATACAACTTTTCCACTATGGACCTCAGTGCTGACAGTGCTGGGAAAACAAAACTTTTTCTTTTCCAACAGGTGTATGAAAGACGACACTTTTTGTTTTACATCACTGGGAAAAAAAGTGCAAAATAAAGGGTAAAAACACACAGTCAGTGTTTTTCAGGATATTAAATTGCATTAATATAAAATTGTTGTGTAGCTTGGTATACAGAGTGCATCAACAACCATATATATATATATATATATATATATAGTTATAGTTTTATGTTTCTCTAGGACATGTGTGGCCCTGCTATGGACCTGTCCAGGGTGTACCCCGCCTTTTGTCCGATGTCAGCTGGGATTGGCTGCAGCCCCCCGTGACCCTGTACGCAGGATAAGCGATTGACGATGGAGGATGGATGGATAGGACATGTGTGGTGCCGTTTAAGCCAGCAGGAGGAGCTGTTGCCTAATTAATTTCTTTGTCATCCAATCACAGGGATTTCAGTGAACACTGAAATGCTAAGTTGTTAAAAGGGCTACTTTGCATCATGAAATATTTGCTATATCTAATCTGGTAGCTGCTAACAATGCCAACAAATATCAGTGAATTCATGCTGAATCTACCGAAAGTGTATTACTAGAGGCTAAAACAGTTAAGTGTTCACCTTTAATTCCCTCTCAAGCTGCTTTAAATTGAACAATGTGCTTTTATTCGAGTTACAGCATTGTATTTGCGTGTTTCAGCTATTCATTGAAGCTGGAGTTTATGATGTTTACAGTGTAAAACACAATTTAAACCCATGTGTTTTATAAGCTGCACCATTCCTTCAAATAGAAATATTCTAGATTCTAGATCGATAGACTTGTACATTAATTTTACACACATATTCCCAAAGTTCAAAGAGTGTAACATTAGCAGTATACACTATACATATATGTATTCTGTGGGTTTGTAGTAATAAATACAAGACAGCTTGAGTTTGTAATAATAACAAAAATCATAATAGCTTTATTTGTACAGCACGTTTCAATACAGGTAACAGAGTGCTTTACAGCAATCAATGTAAACGTAGACAAGTAAAATTGGTATCACTCAGTGGTTTGCAACAATGCAACATAAACAATTCAATGTACAAATTATAGAAATATAAAGTAAGCATCACACTGTGAAAGCTTTTTTGTAGAAATGTGTCTTAAAAAGTGAGATAAAACCAGGAACACTCTGTGAGCCTGATCTCCTCTCGTAGATTGTTCCCTGACAGGGTTTCTAACAAAAAAAGGTCTTGTCTTTTTTGTTTGTGAGCCTAGACCTCAGAATAGCTAGCAATGCCCTACCAGGATCTGGAAGTCTGCGTCCTGGCTCATAGGGGAATAAACATTCAGAGATATAGGAAGGTGCAACCTATGCCTGGCCTTAAAAGTAATTAGAAGAATTTATAAATCAGTCTGAAAGAAACAGGCAGTGAGGGAAAGGATCCCTAAAGCTGGGGTGATATGGTCACATCTTCCAGTTGAAAGTCGAGCTGCAACATTTTGGACTAATTATAGGTGATGAATTGATTTCTGACTGAGACAGGTATATAGGGAGTTACAATAGTTGAGGCAGGAGGAGATAAAGCATGGATGAGTTTCTCCAGATCTTTGGCAGAAAGACTGTGGCTATATTTCTCAAATGATAAAAACATGACTGAACAACATTCTTTACGTGGGGCTCAAAACACAAGTCCTGGTCAAAAACTGCCACTAGATTTCTGGCCAAGGGTAATGTCTAACCCACCGGCTTGTTAAAGGATAAACTCATTTAGAAATGAATCCACCCAAACTTTTTTAATTTTAACATTAATATGACCTTCATATTTACCACAGGTTTTCCAAGTGCCTCTCCTTCTGTGGTCGGCTGACCTTAATCACACCACGTAATCTTTGTCAGTCAGCTCACCTCTTCTAGCCTGAGCATCGGGCTATTTATATATATGAATAGCCATTATTTGTGCACAGTCAATTTTACACTGGACCTCCGGGATGGCAACAGTTTATTGTTGATGGAATATTTCAACTCAACTGCACAGCCTGAGTAATTCAGTGAACTGGCTGTATCATAATGGAATCATTTCCTTAATGTGATTCCAAGAAGAGCAACGCTGTTTTTGGTAAAGTGCACCTTAACAGTACTCAACGTCAGAGGCAAAGACTTTAAATTAAGCCAGAAGTCTGACTTAATGCATGCAGTCCTTTATACTTACATAAAGAGTGTCAATTTAATAAAAAGTCCCCCATAAGTGAATGATTTGTTGGCAACAGGTGCTTCTTGGAGCAGTCATGCTTTGATTTACACCACACATTGAAATGTATTTCTCTGTCCAATAATTTTAGGGTAAAAAGAAGGTCCCAATACTGTAAAAATAAAATGATATTCGTCAGGATGTGAATGTTTCCATTACTCAACCTTGATATGTTACCTCAGTATTGTAAACTCAAAGGCTGTGGTGTGAAGCTTAAAACTTAATATACCAAAGAAAATATTTATCAATTAAAGGGGTAGCCCATAAAGTTCACATTTCCCGTAATTCAATCAATAATTTCTTTTTGTGAGACCCTTCTACATGATAAAATGTAAGTCTCCATGTGCAAGGTCTTAGCTACCATTGGGGACACTGAGCTCATTTTTACATTGTGAATCATTACATTATGAACAATATACCCAGGACAAGATATATGTGTGTGTGTGTGTGTGTGTGTGTGTGTCTGTTGTCAGACAAATCCCGTCAGGTGGCACAAAAAACATTACTGAGACTGTAGAGGCATCCCGTGGCTGTCATGTCAGTCATTTATTTCTGGCTGGGGTAATGACTGTTGAAATGTAGTTTAATATAGACACAAAGGAACTCAGGGCAAACAATCCACAATGAAATGCGGGTGTGCTGCTCGCCTCTGGCATCGCTAGACTCCAGAACGTCACATCTACTGTCCGCTTTTCAAACTGTTGTCAACCTTCAAAAGCATTCATTTTCACAAGCCTTTATTAGGCTGCATCAGAGTCTCAGCTAATTGTTCGGGGATGTATAACTCATCAAGTCCTGAGGGTTCTGGGCACAGGCAGTAGTTTCTGCTCCACTTCACTCCAGCCCAGCCTGAAATGTATGAAACTGTATCTACATTCATATTGCATAACCTAGCAGGCACTCTCAGGGCATCTTCACTTCCATCAGTGAAAACTATATTTACAAGTAAGACAATTACATGCCCCTGCAACCCTGTACGCAGGAAAAGCGGTGGACGATGGATGGATGGATAGAAAATTACATGCCACTGTGCCAATGAATCCGCAGTGGTCTACTCTATCATAAGAACAATTATTTGATTGAGTCACTACAAGACTGCTGCATTTATTTCATAAAGGGCTTGGGGATAAAAATAAGTAGCAAATGAATCAACTAAACAGATCACATAAGTGCATTCTGCAGCTAATGTCATATTGCCCAGGTTAACTGAATAGACATAATACAACATATACTCTGTCAACATAGATCACTCTTGTTTACAAGCTCCCTCGAATATGGGACCGTTAATATGAAAAGCCAAACAGCAAAAATAAGAGTATCATTTTAATTCAAATCAGTATTTTTTTTTCACATGTGCATGTACAAATGTATATCAGTGGCACAATGATACATCAATTACAGAGACATTTGCTTCCTTTTCAGAAAATGCATTTTCTTTTGTTTGTAAGGCAACATGGGTGATTCAACAAATAGTTTTCCACAAAATCAGTTGGTCAAACATATTCATGTATAGTAATAAGTTAACAAATATGACATCACATTGCATTGAATACATTTCATCATGTAAAATCAATGTCGTACAAAATAAAGTCAACAAGATTTGGTCTACAAAGTGCAGTGGCAACAATAGAAATATGTAGACATTAAAACATCTGGATGCTGGTAAACATGGGTTGTCTCTTTGGTGAGTTTGAATAAATGATTTGTTTTCTTATTTCTGTATGAAAATATTTCACAACTATTAAGTAATGTTCTTTTTATGTTTATATAACATGAGGAAGTCATGGAAGGGTGTGCAGTGTTACAGCTGCACAGGTTGTGATGCTGGAAACAGAAACTCAGGTAAATATGTATTTACATCAATATCACTTTGCATGATTGATGATTTTATATAACAGCTAATGTCAGTTGAGCAGCACATCATCAAAAAACATTATTATTTATTAACATTATTTTGTTAATTAACAAAATATACAAATTACATCAATGTATGAAATGTACATTTTACGACAAGAAGTGATGAAAGAGTTTATGTTCTATACAACACCCTCATACAAATTTGAAATAAGAAATTCTGTATTTTGTTTTACTTTTTTAAATCCAACTCCACAGTAGATCCAGCAGATTTTAATCCTAAACATAAGAGTACCAAAACATTTAAAAATATACATAAACTAAAAATATGTTTTCTTAAAACAGTTTGTGAAATATGGGTACTTTCTTTCTTGCTGAAAATTAGATGAAAAAATCAGTACCGTTGTCATGACTATCTTAAATGTGGCCTGTTAAATAGTTATATATGAAACTACAGCCTGCAACCTGTTAGCTTTTGCTTTGCATGAAAATTGGAAACAAGAAGAAGCAGATAGCATGGCTCTACACTAAGGTCACAAAATCACCTGCCAGCAACTAAAAGTGTTATAAAGTGTTAAAACTACATTTTACATGTTTATGTGCAGGACTATTTCTTGGCTGGAAGCAGGGACTTCCTTCTTGTCTCCATCAGGTCAAGGAAACCGTCAGCTACTCGTATGGACAGAACCATGCTAGCTTTTTCCAGTCTGAAGGTTAAGCTATAAGCGTACCGGCGGTAGCTTCATATTTAATGGACAGATATGAGAGTGGTATCAATCTTCTCTTCTAACTTTCTGCAAAAAGCAAATAAGAATATTTCCCAAAATATCAAACTATTCTAACAATTTTCAATTGTATTGCCTGACAGACAGAAATACTCTTGTGATGTTGTGTAGCGCGTTTAGGGACATACAAAGGAGGGATCTGCATCAAAACTTAATCCTGGAACATAATTCAGACATTTTTCACTCTACGTAATCCTTCTCAAAAATAATATTTCCTATTTCCTTCATCTTTTTTTTGTTGTTGCAGAAATCAAAAGCATTTTGGGAGTTTAACATTACAGATATTGTTCTTCCCATTATTATGTGAGCAGCCTGAGCGGATGTAAGAGATGGCATTACAGGCCGGTAAAGTGTTTATGGAAGCAATTGGTGTTCACTTCATCAGGCTTTTTGTCTCTTGCCAGTGGCTTACTTGTAACACTGATTACTAAAAAGCCACAAGGATTTCATAAAGCTAAAAGAATTTAATCTGCTTTCCCTGTGCCTGCATGATAAGTCCATGCACTTAACATACATATACATTATATAAATGATTTAGAATCACTTTCCCAACTATACTTCTCTATATATACAGTACATATAGGGAAGTATAGGGAAGTATAAACACCTTTACTAATTTGGAAGAGAGCTTAAATTTGGCCTCAGGGATATAACATATAACACATTAAATTGCTTTGTATGTTCACACCCTCCTTCTCTGAGGAGAAAAAAAGCAAAATCCACCAAACCGGAAGCGAAAAATGACGGTCGAAAGAAATAGGTACAGAGAGGAAGCATCACTTTCTAACACATATTTTAACAATGTTTACACAAGTACAGTACAGTACAAAAAATCATTGTAAAAAGTAACACAGATTTAAAGGAGAAGACTGACTTCTCTGAGGACAAATAAAGGCTTCGTTAGAATGGTTTGTTTGTATAAAATCACCATCTCACATTGACCAAAATGTTTCACCACATCTTGTGAGGTGAAAACCAATTGTTCACTTCATGACCGTATTGTTTTGATATTTAATTCCGGTGGACCCTTTTCTTCCCTAAAAACCTCTTTGCTAGTTGTCAAAAGCAGCTGTTGATGCCAAAGTACAGTTGTTTTTTTGGATCTTGGTTCTTGTATCTAACAACAATTGCAAGTATTCCTTGTCACCATCCCACCAAGTATGTCTATAAAATTTGATGGATTATCTTGCACTAATAACCACTAAGCAGTAAGATGACAGCGATAAGAAGGCTGTAAGACTTGTTGTGATATGAGTTTAATGATGATGCCATTTTTAAGTCTTCTTAATACTCTAATCTCCAGAGAAATTCAAACCCTGCACCTCATGTGCAATATGTTATACTAGATAGACCCTCCAAGAACTTTATATGTCCAATCATACTTCCTGTGCAGTTAAAATGTACTTTTAGATGCTATTACTTGTTCTCACCAGACAACAGAAATCGCATTGCTCTTAAGTCACACTGGACACATTGTGGCCTTGTTAGAGGAATCAGTCTGTTCTGTAAATCACTTCATTGTCAAATCTGTTCCCTTACATGTTGTGCTGGAAATTATACGCTCCACCCGCTGGTCACACAGCTGTGGTCTGTTTGATGCTGTGAAAGCTGATCCTGGTTGGAGATGTAGGGATGGACATGGCTCGTGCCACTCGCACTCGAAGGGCGTGGTTGTCCTGCCATCGGTGCCACCGTTTCCTTACTGCAGAACGCACCTAAAATGTTGAGAATAAATGTTTTATTATTGAACTTGTTCCAGGCTTAAATACTTGTTGCTAATTGTATGTATAAAAATGTTTTAACTTTGAACATGTCTTCAAAGTTTGGACTAAGCTAGACATGCTATTGTTAAATGAAAGACTGACACCACTCTCATATCTGTTCATTCAATAAGAAGCAGGTGAAATTGGAAAGAAGTTAGTCTAGTTCTGTCCAAAGGTGAAAAAATCTGCCTACTAGCACCTCTAAAACTCACTAATTAACACGTTATTTCATGTCTGTTTAATCCGTACAAAAACTAAAGCTAACCTAACTGTCTCCTGTCTGTAGCTTCTCACTTAACAAACGGATATGAGAGTGGTATCGATTTCAATCTCATCTAACTTTTGGCATAGAGTGAATAAGTGCATTTCCCAAAATGTCAAAGTATTATTTAGTGTTGAATTCAGACTAGAATAGAAGGAATAGAAATGTATGAAGCCAGTGGAATTTTTTTACTCTAATTAACCACCTCACCACCCCTGAGTTTCAATTGTTCGAGGGTTGGGAGAGAGCAGCAAGAGGGTCCTTCATTTTTCACAAATAGTGTAATTCTTGTAATGGCATTAATGACTTTCAAACAGATGGAATTCCAGCAATTTGCTTTGATCTTAATTAGATGAAAATGACAGAGCTCAATTAAAGTATTTTTTAATCATATTTAAACACCATTATCAAAATGTTCCAATTCCCTACTGGAACAGAAAATCTTTTAGCAGTTTTAGGTTTCTTTATGAAAGCTACCTGATCCTACTCCTGCTTGAATTTAACAAAGATTTTAACTAATCAAGTAAATCCATGTAGGGCTTTATTAAAATCATATATCAAGAAACACATTGACAATTTAATGAAATTCATAAATACTGACTGTCTTTTTCAACTCCAGTGACTCACCTCTCCATTTAGAAAGCAGTAAAACACTGACACAAAGAACCCCTGCAGAATAAGACACGTTATTATTAGAAGGAGTAAATGCAGCTGTTTTGTGTAATGACACCATAATTAGACATCAGTGGATTCAGATGGTGCTGTCATGAGAAGAAAAGGAATTAGGCATTCAATTTTGGAAGCAAATGTTGTCATGCCAAATATACTGTAATTCTTGGTTGTAAAAAAGCTCAGCTTGAAATCCATTTTTATCTCCCACTCAGTCTTACATTTAAGTGCATCAGACAGAAAGATTTTCAAAAAAATCACCACAGAGCAGAAAACATGCCCACATGGCCCTTTTAATCCTGTCAGCTGAGAATGCTGAACATGAGGCAGGAGGGCCATGTTGTGTATAAGCCCTGCCAGGATGCTACTTCAAATCATCTTCTCACAAGAAGGCTCATAACTTGAAAAGTCAGAAAGAAAGAAGTGACACAACTCTGTGATAAAACATAAAGAAATCAGTATGATTCACATTATTCACTTTGCTTACAATGTGTGCTGGTTTTTGTTAGTATTGGCCAGTGTCACACTGTATCATTACCCTTATTCTCACCTGAAAAGACTGTAAAAAGGAGTTAAAATAGATGAAAACGATTTGTGAGATGTCATCCTCCCCCGGATTCACAAAGAAGAGCATGTAGGTGATGCCCAGCAGAGGTAGCAAGACCAGTGTTGCTTTCACTGCTTTTCTGTGAAGACAGGAATGGAGCATCAGCAGCCAAAAAATTACTAATATAAGAACTTGAATTTCATTTGATGATCTTGGAAAATGCGGGACAGTCAGTGGCAGTCTAGGGAAAAAAAGAATCACACCACCCCCTTGCTTCTCAAAATATCAACACAATATTAGAGATGAAGCCTAGTTTCCAAGATGGAAACAGATCCATGTTGCACTTTATTTTAAGGGTTTATATGATTTAACTAATGGCTAATAAATAATAATGTAATGCAATGCTTTACACATAACAAGTTTGGAATATAATTTTTATTTGTTAATAATGCATTTCAAAATTTTTATTAAATGCATTAATAAGGACTCATGTTTTTAGTTAGTTTTACCAACTAAAAGGTCTGCAGTTAAAAATGTTAATAAGTTCTTAAAATAGTTTTTACAATTATCCATAAAGTCTGCAGTTCTAAATGTTAATGTTGTCATAAATTGATTTTGGTTTGGAGGAACTGCAGATGAAGCAGTTGAACTGTCAATTGGACTCCTAAATACAGAGCTAGAAAAGCCTAAATGTTCAAAAAGGTTTTTAAATAAGAGGGATTATATTATATTAATTATTATATCATTAATATAATTTTTTTGCACACATTCTTAACATGCTGTGCCAAGCAAGCAATTTAAAGATCACAAAAAAATCACATCTTTCCTTGTCAAACTGACTCAAACTGTCTGTTCATATTGTTCATGCACATCTGGACAAACTGGCGTAATTTTGAAAGAACCATCGTGCTCTATTTTTAGGTCAACAATTTATGTCTGACACTCCTGTCCTCCACTCACTAAAATCTGAATGGCTCATGTCAGCATATCTGTCACACAATAACTGTAAATCTAACTCGAGCCTGAAAAGCCTACATTGAAGTTGTCTGAGCTGTGACACTGTAAACACCCTGTATACTCTAAATAATCCCAGAAGGAGAAAAACACACTTAAAGTAAAAGGAGAGAAAACACTCTCACAATTTAGCAGTCCGATGCACAAGCTGTGTGGGTCATAAATCAGGATTCCACACAGGTCACGTCTCTCAAGCACACAGCAAATCTCTGCATTTACTGATCAAGTCTTGTCAGACACATGAGAGGTTTTCCACCTCCAAAGATTACTGGTTGGACTAAATGAATTGACTTGCTCCATGAAGTATTGTAACTACATTGTGCTCACTCAGGTCAATTTGTTTGTCTAGACTTCCATTTTGAAAAAAATATGACAGCAACACATCAAGCATTTTCAACATAGCCCATAAATTCAAAACTTGATGTCTGCCATAGTCTCTTTGGGAATTACTGAACCAGCTGCTCTGATGATAATGATTTTCACAGCCTTAAAACATTACATGTTGTCCTTGGAAGGAGCCAACAGTTGTCCTTGGAAGGAGCCAACAGGAGAAGTGTCATCTCTATACTGTATACAAGCATCCAACCATCTACACACTGGTGGACTTTGGGGATAAGAAGTGTCCTCTACGATGGTCCAATGTGCAAGGAAACACGGTGCAGTGCGCTTTAAGGTGTCCTTTGAGTGGAGAAAACACAATGCAGTGCATTAAAGTGTGCCCTTCCAGTAGAGAGAACACGGTGCAATTCCCTCTAGGGTGCCGTACATGCTAGAAAATCTGTTGGCCTCTACATGCCATAAAAGGTTAATTAGTCAATAGTTCCCTGTGTGTTGTTAGTTATACTTTAAATCTGAGTCACATAATAAAACAATTTTAACCTTACAAGGTTGGAATCTGGTTCACCATAAATTATTCACAGCTGGTGCCCTACACCCGCACTAACTCACCTGTACTGTATTGTTTCAGATGTGGTTGACGCTCTTAGTTTGGTCATAAGAATTCTTACTATGTTGAAGAGGAAAACAAAGTTTATCTAGAAAAAAACAACAACAAACAAAATACAAAACAATTAGTTTTGAACCCTGTGTAAATGGCTTACACTGAAATACACCAAGAGCAATATTCTGCTGCGAACAGACCCTGCTCATTAAATGCTGAGTAGGAGGACGACAGGGCACAACACAAGACAAAGCCACCTCCTCTCCTAGCAAGCCAGTGTTGTGTTGTGAAGAGCACACAAATCAGATCTGGTCACCGCACTACTACATGTTGATAACAGCTTGTACATAACCATTATCGGATACATTCCTATGAATACAGTTTGTTATTTTCAGGATTCTTATGTGTGGAAATACCTTAACCCATCAGGAAGATTAATTCCACCTTGCCAACAAGCTAGATGCAGGATGGAAATGGGTTTCATTATAAAACCATTTTCATTTCAGTGCAGATTTCATCAGTTTACACCTACAAGCAGCAAGCAGGCATTAGTGATAAATTTTATGTTAGTGTAAAATGTGTGTTGAATAAATGAATCGTTCTAACAATATAGTGTGGGAATACTAGCAGTGGATGTGCAGTGCGATGACTTTCTGTGTTGTTACTCACCAGGAGCACAAGAATAACTGGTCCCTGGTATATGTAGTCCATATATTTTCCAGGTTCTTTACCAAACCAACATCTGTTGACACAAGAAAAGAAAGAATCAATACCATCAAATTAAAGAAAATGTTTAAAAAGGCATTAGATTAACTTTTTTTTTATACTTACTGTTCATTTTCATAATACAACTTTCCTATGGCCCAGGCTACTATTATAGGACATGGAATACCTGTAATAAAGAAATCAAAAGATTAATTTAAGTCAGAAATAACAAAACATTTACAGAATAAGGGACATAGAATACTGTTAAAAAAAGTTCAATACAAAACATTAATTGTAATGTTTTAATAAATGTAGCAATCCACCATAAAATATATTTGGTTATATATATATATACACACATATATATATATATACATATGCTGCATCAAGTCTGCTCTTTTTTAAGCAGTTCATTCTTGACTTTGTCAACCTGGCAGTGAGTCAACACGCTAAACGAGCAAAGCATCTTCTAGCTAAATGTCATTAGTGAGTATAACCAAATCAGATGTGTTAATAACACTGTGACAGAAAGCTGACCAGATGTGGTCACGTTTTGTAACTAGCTAGACAACGTGGATCAGATATTTGTAACAGTGAAATGATTAGTGAAATGACCTTTAATGGAGCTGAAGGAATACAGGTCTAAACCTATTATGATTCCAGCTATCTTTAGGGCCTCTGGTGGAAGAGAGATTTAGTCTGCCCCACTTCCATTATTTCCTAATGAATTCTAATTAACGATTTCTCAAGACTTATAGCAGTGGCACACTGAGAAGTCTCGTCAATGGCGTGTGGCTTCTACATTGCAGCTGTTGTAAAAATGAAAGAACAAAATAATTATCCCTCATATTAATTCACCTGCATTTATAAACCAGTTTCTACTTTAGTATGACTCTTAACAAATCATTTTAATTTATTACATTTTAAATAATTAAGGTATTCCTTCATCTTCCATCCCTTTTAGCCTGCTTATTTTTGAATTTGTGAATTTCCCCAACAAGCAAATGATACTGTCTTTTAAGAGATGGAATATCACACAACAAACATCAATTACAGAAAATTAAAACATAATTTGTCACCCTACAGGGTATGTGGCTTATATATTGGATCAAAACCAAAAATGTGTTTAATCCACACCTGCAGGAGTGCCTAGTAAATTTCAAGTACTGATGAGTTGACCTTCCTTAAAGATGAAGCCACACAGATAATCGAATTGTCATTAGAATCACAAAAGGTCATTAAAACTAGATTCATGTGTGTGATATCTGCCTTTGATTGCTTCTGTGTCATTACCAATCATATGTAAACTGCTCATCTGCTAGTTATTTATTTATTTTAAAGTGTCTATGTTGTCAAGAACACACACTGGGGCTTAATGAATGAATCTTTTGATCTTATATTGTGAATGCAAACAATTTAAGAACTTCATCAATACTTGTGTACTTTTTGCTTGTTCTTACGCAAGATCAAAATTTGATAATGCCCTAGACCACAAAAGCCCACATGCACAAAAGCTAACTTTTTTGGGCTATAAAGTTTTTATAATGAGGATGAAAAGGCAATTTACTTTATGAAAACACACAAGAAAAATGTTCTACACTTACTAAAGACGACTAGGTCTTGCCTAAATGACAACAAAATTAGACCAATGTGCCCTCACGCACACACACACACACACACACACACACACACCAGCCCATTAATTAATTATGATAGCACATGTCATTTATTGGGTTTTTAAAAAATTGCTGGACTAGCCTATAAGCAGTCCATTGTATTCATGTGTGTATCAAGGCACCATCTCCAAATCCGTGCCCCTTCTACGATAGAAAACAATTCCATTCAAAAAACATTCACATAATATTTAATGCACAGAATCACATCTTGGGGGGATTGCAGTTGGCAAGCTTTAATACACACCTGTTCACTAACTAAGACCACGCCAATTAAGGTAAAACAGGTAGTTTATTTGGTTAGCAAGAAGGTTCAGGAAGGAAATGATGGAGGGGTCAGGAGGGGAGGGATGAAGGGGTCGAGAACTGAGAAAAGGAAGAGAAAGTGGCCACTCTAAGGGTGAACTGCCACTATAGTGGCCGCCGAATCCAGTGAAGGGAAGTCATTCCAGCTCCATTGACAAGCATTGTTGAATACGGCAAGGGACAGAAAATGAGAAAGAAGGACTGGCCTTGTGGGATGATACGGGTGGCAAAATGTGTCCAAGTAGGGAGAAAAGTTGGTGCTTGGTACAATGGTAGAGGAGACTGGAATACACTTAGAAATATGATGGAGTTTCTTAGGTTGGGAGGGAGGCTTTAAAGGAAGTGGATAATATATCTTGGGGCTGCTCTTGCACCTGAATTTGGTGCAGATGGTTAGGTAACATGAACCTATTACAAGAAATGCCAAAAAAGAAGAAACTCCAGAATGAAAGTGCTGGTAATGTCAACCAGGCGTGGTGGCTGGAAGATATCCTGACGGAGGATGAGGTTATTGGTGAGGTTATTGGGTTATTGGAAAGGTGGGCAAGTTGTTGGTGGGTGGGGCATAAGGATAGGGAAAAGGAGTGGCAATGGTGCAGCTGGTGGCTGGATGAGTAGAGGTGCTGCACAGGTTGCAAGCCAGGTAGGAGCTTGCTGCAAATGCAAAGCAGTACGTTCTGAGTCAAGGTTGCCCCAGTAGGTGTCCTGATTAAATTGCTGTAGGCGACATATGGCCTGGGATGTGAAAAGGACGTGATTTAGGAAAAACCAGTGCCTCCGAACTGCGGAGCCAAATCAAAGGTGGACAGGTAGTCATTCAACTCGGCCCTGCAGTTGGGGACGGGAACAGGGAAAGAACGAGAGGAAATGGAGTGGGTCCATGATGTGGAACACAGTGTCTTGTTGTGGCTGTGGCAGAGTGGACAGCAGCGCTGTTGGTGGTTGATGCGAGAGAGAAAGAATTGCTTGAGCGGGGGAGCAGAAGGAGCTATGTTAGCTGCAGCTGAAAGAAGGGAAGAAGAAAGGATGCTGGGATGGGGTGATGCACGTGCATCGGCATGCTGGGTCCGCATAGAGCTTAGTTTGGAATGCGGAAGTGAGCAGCCAGCTGGAGTGGTGTTGGAGGTGGCTGTGTAAAGCTGGAAAAGCCTGGCTTTGTTGGCTGTGGAATGGGATTTGCCTTTCCTTGAGTGCATGCTGAAGGTGGGCGATGGTCCATTCAGAGATGGTTGTGGAAGGAGCCAGAATTGGGGGCTGCAGGTTGGTTGGTGTGTGGCCGCGGGTCGAGTCTAGTGGTGCGGCTGGTTAGAAGTCGGGCGTCTGGAAGAGTGGACTTCCACCGAAAGTTGGCGATGTGTGTGTTCAGTGAAGTCGGTGCTGAGGAATTGGATCATGGAGCGCAGTCATGGTGAATGAGTGGCTGTTTTATTTATTTCTTTTAGAGTGTCATTCATTTGTTAAAATGTGTAGAAAAGTGAAGAGTATAGTAATATCTTCTGCTGATTTTGAAAATTTATTCCATGATGAACCCTGGTGGATTGTCTTGATGGTCCAGGCGCATTCTGAGAGGTGGATGGTGGACTGGAGCCAGAGGCTTCTGAAAAATAAAATAAAAACCATAAATATGTTTTTTGTTTAACTTACTCATATACCAATGATTTAAAATGGGCATGTAGCTTAAAACAAAGATGGGTATATGGTAGGCTATAGATTAGGTAAAATTCATGTTTTATAGATGTACGTTTAATGTGGAATTACATGCAGTCAACTTTACTTTAGAAAATTTGGATTTATGCTTACGTTGTTTTCAGATCTTGCTTTCTGAAAGGGTAGGGTATGCTGTCTGGCGCTGACGGGATGTTCCCTGGCTGTGGTAAGTCACTGTCCAGTGACTGCTCAGAGAGAAACCTCTCCAATGATGGCTCCAATCTGCTCATGTCTGTTGTTTTGACAGTTTCCTGGCCAAGTCCCGTGCCTTTATTAGTTTGCCTGACTGCAGACAGTCATTTTTTGGTGTCCATTTTCAGATCAAACCTTCCCCCCCCCCCCACTTAATTTCAACAAGAGTTCTTTCTTCTGCACAAACAGCATTAATTGAACTGGTGAGCTCTTACCATGTTTTGTGCTTTTCTGGACCCTTAACCCCACCGCTCACACTTGACACAGTTTTTTCTAAATTAAACTTCATTAATTAGTTTCTATCTCTGCAAAAGAAAAGTTTTTTGCTAGGCAGCATTTCCTTTTATTTAACTTCCTTTTCTTCTTTTGTCTGAGTTACATTACCTGTCAAATGTGAGTGGCTTGTTGTTTTGCAAAGGCAACTTAAATATGGTGCCATTATATGGGTTTATTGTGAGGAGTCCTAATGCTAATTGCATATATCCTGGTACATGCATCCAATTTAAGATCAATGCTATTCATCAACGTACTGAGATGGTTAAGAACAGACTTTGCTGTCAGCGCACATTTCATGAATCCCAAGTAGGATTTTCCTTGTATTGCTTTGTGCAAGAACAAATATAAGAGAAAAATAAGAAAACATTCATGCATGAGGCCCAATGTCCATTACATAAAAAGAAATGAAAATGTCAGAATGGCTCAGGGAAGCATACAAGCATGTTTCCATCAGCATTTTTCTGCCTCATGATGGAATATTCTGACACTCTGCATTTCCTAATAGCTTAAGTCATGGTGAGCATAGATAATTTCTGCAGTCATGACGGGGCATCTACTCCACGTTCAGAACTCATTCTATCACTGGAAGTCAGGCACAAAAGCAGGAAATTGTCTACACTTCACTGCAGTTCTGTTCATTTATAAATTCAAAGCCTCATCTTGAGTCTGTAGCACTAAAGGATCTCCCTTTGCTTCACTCGCCAACCAGACACAACTTAAGCGCTTTCATTCAAGCAAATGCTCATTTTGAATTGGGAAGGAATGTCATGTTACACTGTGCTATTGCAATAGCTGGACCACAGTGTTATATATACAGTGTTATATATATATATATATATATATATATATATATATATATATATATATATATATAATATGTATATATATGTATATATGTATACATATACATATACGTATATATATATATATACACGTATATGTATATATGCGTATATGTATATATATCATATCTAGACAAGAAAGCTCCTCACAATGCATGTTTGCCTGTACACCAAGCGTAGCAAGGGGGCCGAGGGCTAGTGAGTGTCAAGACCACTGTCCAGGATGAAACGACAAAGATCCAGGAGTACATCAGGAAGGATGGATGGCCCCCAAAGGTGAAGGGCTTAGTGAATACCTCAGGCAGCAGAAACCCGAGGGTGAGGACAAGGAAGATGAAGAACCTTCATAGAGGGACAAGCCGCTGCACGGCATGTACCACAGACAAATAGAAGAAGAGGCCGATATCAAGAAATCCTACCAATGGCTGAAAAAGCGCTAATCATGGCGGCACAAGAACAGGCACTCAGTACAAGATCAATAGAGGCTGGGGTCTACCACACCAGGCAGGACCCCAGGTGCAGACTGTGCAAGGATGCCCCTGAAACAGTACAGCATATAACAGCAAGGTGTAAGATGCAGGTAGGAAGTGCGTACATGGAACGCCCTAACCAGGTAGCTGGTATAGTGTATAGGAACATTTTCCATGAGTATGGGCTGGAAGTCCCAAGGTCAAAATGGAAGACACCTCCTAAGGTAGTTGAGAATGACCTAAGATCCTGTGGGGCTTCATGATCCAGACTGACAAACTGGTGATGGCTAACCAACCAGACATCGTGTTGATCGACAAACAGCAGAAGAAGCTGCAGTGATAGATGTGGCAATCCCAAGGGACAGCAACATCAAGAAGAAGGAACACGAGAAGCTTGAGAAATACCAAGGGCTAAAAGAGGAGCTAGAAAAGATGTAGAAAGTAAGAGCAACAGTGGTGCCAGTGGTAATCGGAGCACTGGGGGCTGTGACCCCCAAACTGGGAGAGTGGCTACAGCAGATTTCCAGGTAAAAAATCAGAGGTCTCTGTCCAGAAGAGTGCAGAACAGCTAAGATACTGCGCAGAACCCTCAAACTCCCAGGCCTATGGTAGAGGACCCGAGCTTGAGGATGACACATACCACACCGCAAGGGGGATGGTTTTTTTTATGTATATATACTAATTCAGAATAATTCTAAATGATCAAGTTATATGGCTGAAAGTTACAGACCAGCCACTAAATGGAGCTTGAGGTGAGATTGTTTTGTCAAGTCCTAAAATTGACGAGAAGACAATTGAGCAAACACATCTGTTGATGAAAATCATTGAACACAAACTCATATCAGTCTGCAAAATCACGCATTTAAACTGTGAACCTTGTTTATCAAGAGAACAAAACCAACAGCCGAGTGAAGTGATACTAATGCACTGTCAACGTGAAGATACTCACACCAGCCGATGAAAAGGAAGACCCACTTTCTGAGCTTATCAGTTGAATAAGTCATTACAATGGCTGTGTGAAGGTAACATCCTTCAACAAACATCCAGAAAAAGTTTGTCACCACAAAGTAGTTGTATATGGTTGTAATTAACCGACACCAAGGCTGAAAAAGAAAACACACGACTCAAAGTTACTTGTAAATTGCAACAAAAATACTAATACTTTTCTTAATATAAACTTATTCACAGCTGAACTTGTTAGGAATTTTAAATGGCTTTATAAAACTGTAAATCGATAAGGTTACCTCATTGCTCTCATGGATATTGTGGTCTATCAACTGAAGCAAAAACCACATAACATTCCTCAGTATGAAGGTGGTGATCAAGTTCCAGTGGATGATGTTTCGAAGACATCGTATACTCCTATACCCGCAGGTCGAATGAAAGAAATGTTTTATTATCATAGTACAGTTGATTCAAAGTAAACTGAGGTCTCAAAATTAGAGTACAAAAATTAGGGCACCATTGGCCTTTTGATATACTGTAATGTCAGCAACACAATGGCAAGTCATGTCACTGCAGATAGATGCTCAAATAGTATATGCAAACTTTATTTAACATTTATTTTGCATATCTTCAATCAAGTATGATTTGTCATTGTACTTAACTTATAAAAAAATAAAGGTTTAAAGTATGCCGAATTAGTTGCTAGCAGTTCCTGTGTGCACTATACCCATGGGTGTGCAGACACATGTATTTGCAATAGACATCAGAAATATTGGTATCCAATTAAGATTGGGAATAAAACAAAATAAAAACATAAACATATTACACAAAATGTATAATACACAACATGATAAATATAAAAAAATATAGACAAATATAGAAAAATGTAGAAAAACATACGAGTCACAAGAACTGCATCATTTCACATATATCCATAATATAAAGCTAACTGACAAGAAACTATTAAGGACGTTAGGACAGACATCCTATAGGTCTTACGCTCTTTTGAATTTTTATATAAAACATTTAAAAAAGCAATTAAAAAAGTGGAGACTGGGATTACTGGTCATGTGACCTAGACACGGCCTATTTAGCACACCTGTGGGTGCCCTTGCAATTTCACTGAGTGAACCTGATGAAGCCATAGGCAAAACACATTGTTCACAATAAATCACAGTAAAGTCAATTCAGTGTGCGGTGGCTTGCTTTTGATTTTTTTTGCTGAAAAATATCTGTATCATGTCTGTGTGATCAAATTTGACTGACTTATGACTCAGAAAAGGCCACGTGTATAAGGACTCCCACTACTTAATACTGTATGGTGGGTCATCATGGTTTAAAGAGCTGGTAAAAGATAAATCATTCAATTTTCAGGTTTTTAAAAGACTGTTTTAGTTCAGATGACAACATTTTGTTTCAGGCATTTTCTTATTCTTCTGTCGGGGGGAACCCTAAGTAGCTGCAGATTGTTCCATGAAATCTAAAGGGATTTCATCTAGGAACAAAATGTTAACTATTTTGGTCTTCAACCTAAAGAAATCAATATTTTCCTTCAGAAGCCCACGTTGATCAAACCACAGAACAACTCAGCTGAGGTTGTGGTGTGTGTCTGTGTGTGTGTGTTTAAACTAGGACATGAGGTATGACTGAAGAGAAGAAGTGTAATGAAGTCCACATAATATCTTTCTTAGCCTGAGTGCTCCAGCTGAGCCGAGCAGCAGAGATCTATTCATTTGACATAAGCGAGTTAATGATAAGCAGTCAGAGGATATTACATGAATTTCCCTGAGTGTCTTCTATGAGGTATCATGCATACAGGACACATTTAGATGAGTACTATTTCTGTACTTGCCTTAAGCACAAGAAGAGAATGAAGGCCATGACTAGAGCTCCCACAGAGATACAGTGGCCTAGGTAGTTGATGATCAGCGCTATTTTATAATGCATTGGATATTTTCTCTGTGAAGACAACGCTTGAATTATTTCTCTAATGCAACGGCTGGACAATAGAACAAAGAGAAGATGTTAGGAATACACAAATGAACGAATAGAACCAGGGTGTATCTATTTATTTATCATTATATATAGGCTTCACTGTGTTTAGCTAAAGTAAGAGACAGCAAATGTCACTGACACACTTCGGATGTCTCAGCTTAAAATTATCTGAGAAAATAGAGCAAGACCCAGAAATACACATAATCAGGAGACAAGATGTGAGGTAATCAGACCAAAACTCATTACAGACAATACATCAGACTTACAGTTTGGCCTCAGGCTTTGCTCTCAAGGACACAGACAATACTGTACTTGTGTATTTAGCATCTTGAAACAAATGTTTAAACACTTTAACTGCGCTATGTAGCAAAATTAAATGCTGTTCAATAACTGTTACGCAATCACAACACCACTTTTCATTTGCTTTATCGGACTGTTTTTCCCTGAGCGCTATTAGTGTAATGATGAGAAACTGTGATGAGCGTTTCACTGAGATGGTGAACAGATTGCTTGCAGAATGAAGGACATAGCACGATTGGTCCTGCGACGCCACACTAACCTTCTCCTCCAAAATGGGTTCACAATTGGAGTAATTACTCTTCAACGCCCAAGTCCCATTATCCAAGCATTCCCTGTAAGCACTCCCTGCAAGAAAAGAGTTAGGAGCTCAGTTGAGAAAACAATGAAATTGTAGCACTGTTGCACACATTGATTATATTTTCAGGTACTTGTTGAACTCAAATATTTGTTCTTCTGTTCAAATCTCCTGTCCGTGTTCAACATCAAACGCTGCACTGCGTTGAGAAAGTGCTGGTGCAAGCCAGTTGTTTGTTTGTGGTCGTGTTTATAGGTAAGCTAAAACATCCTTGTAATTTCTTAGGAGCTCAGTTCAAACTTGAGCACTTCTATCTGTCTGAGCCTTACACAGAATACCAATTCAGCAATACACATTTTTATTCATAGTGGGGAAACGCAAAGCCTCTTACTCTGTCAGTTTATTTGCATATCTTTTAAAACCTGCTTTCTATAATCAACTTTGAACTGAATTTTTCATTTTGCAGTTCCTCGCTGCACATTCTGAGGGCCCTTTATCTCTTTAACATTGAAAAATGTATACAGAGTTCAGTGGAAATAGTACTGAGCAGCGATAAATTATCTTCTTCTGTTCTATTATGACCAGCCACTTAAAGTGATAATTTCAAGCACTCTGCTTCAAAGGTACACATGATTAACTTAGGTGTTTATTATTGTGCATGAAAACTTGCATCAGTCATGGTTTTGCTGCTGTTGCTTCTGGCTGGTTTATACAGTTTTCAAAAATGTATTAAAAATAATAGATTCAGTAAACCTTTTGTTATTTAACCAGACAATATTTTCACCAGTGTGTATTACATATTTATGTATATATTATTCTAAATAAATGCCTTACAGATTAACTTTATTTCACTGTACGATCAGTTTATGTCTAAATACTGAAACTGTTCAACATTATTTATTATGCTAAAGTTGTTTCAAAATATTTTGACTATTTCTTGTGAGTAAATGAGTTATATTTCCCTACACATAGTAAGGGATGAATGAATATATTTATATCAGCGTTCATAAAGTTGCATAATACCTATTTTTTCCCAATGTGGATTAGCACGTTACAGTAAACACATCTCAAACAAGAGTTGACTGTAATGTTTATATTCATTCATCCTGACTCAAAGATTCTTGTCAAAAACAAAACAATTTGGCAGAAATTGAGGAAACCATCCACCTAAGAAATGCCTACAGCGACTCTCGAAGCAGTGGCAGCTTCCTTGGCTTTCAAATTAATGTTACGTAATGTGACATTTGTATTTGGAGAGCAGACAGCAGAAATCAGCTTGTGGCAAATAGAAACAGAGAAGTAGAAAATGACTCTTTAAAACGGCTTCATAATATGCTTTCATTAGCCTTATGGCAACACATACTGTATTGTGACTAGACAATGCTTTGTGCTGTTCATGAAGGAAGATCCCAATTCTCTGCTATTTGAGTAGGAGCTGTGATAACTGATAACTGTGATAAGTCGATTGACTTGAATGAATGGAACATCAATCCCCTGCGACGCAGTAAAACAGAAAACACACTGTGCTTGTTTGGTGACTTTGCAAAAAAATCTCAATATGTTCATCTATTATGAGTTCTTGTGCAGTTTAAGCAACCATGATATGACAGCTAATGTCGCATGCATGGCAAATAAACTGGAGTAATGGGAGTAGCTTAACCTGTAGGGAGGAGGAGGGGGAGGGTCATTTACAGTGGGGACGCTGGGGACGTGTTGCCATCACTTTTTGAAAGCATTTGTTAAAAATGTTCTGAAAAGTAGCTTGCACCAACAAATGTTGATTAACAAATAGAAATGCTATGAAAAAGGTTCATTTGCACAATAAGAAAACCTGCAATGCAACGTAAACATAGAAGGAACCTCTGAACTGAAAAAAAAAAGTAACTAAGCAAAAAAAAAACAATAAGCTACTGATTCCTGCATTATATTTTATTATATTTTTATATTGTGAATTGTCACCTGCCTCCTGAATTTTGTGCTTCCCTTTATAAAAATAAAGACATTTCCACCATAAATTGGTGCAGGAAATGTCTCCGGAATACAGGAAATTAAGTGTTTAATGCTCAAAATCTTCTGGGGGAGGACCCCCAGACACCTTTATTTAATATCTCAACTATACATTTTGTTTTAAATACTAGGTCTATTAAAATATATTCTTGTCTTGTAGTCATGGACATCCTGTGCAATGTCACGTCTCAGTGTTTCATCACACCCCCAATCTGACCCCCTAAATGGAACGATGGTGTATTGGTGAGAGGAGTCTGACCGATGTTTTTTTTTTGTCCCAGTCCAGCCCTGGTTTTTGTTGTTAAACTTTTGACTGCATAATAATGACAAAGCCATAATGACATTGATTATGGTGCACACTGAGTGAAGTGAATAAAAATGGAAACCCTAAAAATATAAAAGCTGTTTGATACAACTTTCCGGGAGTTGTTGATTAAACTGCATGGTCATTTTCAAAGCTGTTCCTGTTCTTATATTGGGCTCCATTGCACAATTGTGGATATACATACAGTCCAATATAACAACAACACATAATACAGCTGGGGAAAAAAATGCTGAATCAAGAGCTCTTTGACCCAATGAGCTTTATAGGTATTGTATGTACTGTACATGTCTCAAAATGTATGTGAGGTCTGGATATTTGAATAAAGAAATTTAGAGTTTTTTTAGCTAATGGCTTTTTTCTTCGATTGTCAAAATTGTGAAAACTCCCTTGGCATGTTTAACCAGCATGACTGTTCTTAGCTCTTTAAATGTTCCAACAAAATAAAAAACAATAAAAAAACTTCGAATTGACTGTTGACTTATGGGAAAAGAGCTGCAGAGCATCTGGACCACATTACAGTAATAAATAATAATGAACAGCTGCAGACCTGATGGGTTATATACATTTATATTTGCAGACTTAATGGCAGGGTGAAGTGAGAAACCTATGAACATTTATTAATGAATTGCTAACATTTATAGCAGAGCTATACTGTTTTGGTTAAGAATTAATCAACTATTATCAAAGCCATTAGTAACAAACTCTTTCAAAGTTGAAAAAAGGTATAAAAGGTGACCTATTAGATGTTATAACGTGATAAACATTAATTGTGTGGTTTATGAATTTTTTGATATCCATTATTCTACAGGCAGTTTCAAGCAAACCTCAATCTCAATGAAAGTGAAACGATTACCACCAGTAATAATGCACCAAGGAAAGTGGAACGTATGCTGTGTTTTTTCATTAAGCCAAGTAAACATGCATTTTGGAATTTTTTGTCAGTGTGGTTGAAATAAGTTCATCTTCAGGACATGAAGTTGTTCCTTGTTGGTGGGCACTACTTCTCTGATGGTATCTGTTTTTTTTACATTACCTTTCAGTTTAGTAGTGGGTTACTTCACTTGCACATCCCAACACAATTGTTCAATCAAAGCACTTTACTGGATAATCTGTGCAGACAAACAAACAGCAATTTATGACATTATATCTGTTTTGGGGAGTTTTGTCCCTGTGAGCGATTCCACTGAGGCAGAACTGATTCAAGGTACTGGTGCAGGGAGAGCACATTCCTGATTAACCATCTGTGCATTACGCATGATAAAGCTATTCTCTTCACATTTATCTTTACAGTGTGTTATATTCACACTGTTAAAATATAAATCACCAAATGACTCAGTCTCTCTTGAGTTTGGGTAAGGAACAACGCTGCCATGAGAAGGTGTTAACAATGATCTAAGTAGCCCATTACTAACCGCACTGTGCCAACATTGCCCTCCTCTTCCACTAGCACTTTAAATGTGAGATAAATTGTTAATACATTGTTATGAACTAATCTGGACAAACCAAACCGTCTGTGCTGAGCTTGACCTGTTTCTTTCAGCCGATTGTTGCTGTGCTACAACTGTGGGATGTGCAGCAATGCCACAGGAATATTATAGTACAATATTTTTCACTTAAATATTGTGTAAGCTTTTCTGTCTGTGTCTTGTGTTTAGCTTTACTTTGTCATCTGTCTTACTTTTGAGCCAGGAGCTCAGTTTCCTGACTGATGGACTTAAACAAAGAAAACTGACTGCTATGCCTCCTCAAAGCACCAAGCTGCGGCTCACAGCTTATGACAAATTACCCACTTGCTTCAGTTGTTGTGTGAAATAGTCAGTTAAGCTCTAGCCTTCTATTTGGATGAGTTTCAAATTGTAGTAAAGATCAAAGGCTATAATAACTCAAAGTGGAGTGATTAAAACAGCTCATGCGAGCTGTACACCTGAGCCAGTTATGGCAGCGTTTCCTTCGAGCCATTTGAAATTTAATTTCATGAGCTGGGGACAAAGTAAACTAGGCCATACCATAACAGCATGGCAATCCCACAGCTCATTGCAGTTTGGTATTTCAGTTAGGCAACAAGAAGTGGAGCAGAGCTGCCATGTAGCATATGTGACGGAAGCCAGCGAGGCTGTGCAATGAGTAAAAACCTCACTCCCTGACACCTTAAGAGACGCACTGGTAAGCAATGCCAGAGCCCATAGGTTTTAGCCTGCTGGTCAGCGTGTCCGCCTCCCTTACCAGAGGTTACCAGTTCGGGTCACGTCTCATGGCAGTAAACTTTTTCAGCTTCCACAAGCACTGCTCCTTCCTCCTTGTGGATAGATACTGCCTTGCAACGGGTTTCCATATTGCGCTTAGGGGCGTTACTAAGTGCACTATATTCAGTACATAGTCAAGGGGGTATCACAAACCGACCAAGTACGGAGAAGAGACCTGGCAGTGAGTGTTGCGGTCCAGCCAGCACTTTTAGCTTCTACTGTACCCACTTTTAGAATAAGAGTTTCTTCACAGCTGCTGGATGAGCCAAGAACTTAATGTTACACTGACTTTTAAATCTATGCTTTTATTATGACCAATGAAGGTCTCTGTTAGTAACGCAACAAAGCACAAATGTGTTTAAGAATAACTTCTCTAACATCTGCCAAAGCTTTCTTTACCTTCCTTCCACCCAGTAATGTATCATATAGGAAGCGAGTTGAAAGCTCTGACATTTACATTTTACTCATTTAGCTG